CCCCAAAACCCCAAAACCCCAAAACCCCAAAACCCCGACAAAAAATATTTTTATTGAAAGAACTTGTATATTTTTACATATTGCTTAGAGGTTCAGAATATTTTCTATCAAGATTGTTCTCGCTTGGTTCCTTTTCGGATACAATTTCTGACTCTTTACTCACCAAGATCCTTGATTCAGATTTTGGAGGCTTCTCTTCCTTCACTTGATTTGAAACTAAATTCTCAGAATATGGAAGTTGGACGCCAGGGAGGTCCAAATTATCAGTTCTCTTCTGATAATCTACAGATTACCTATAAGATTACCAATAATTTGTTGGCTGATTCTCTCTTGACTCTTGGTGGGTACCTTTCGTGCATCAATATTTATCTTTCTCAGATCTTTTTGTCCTTTGAACTCTCTGATCTTCATTGCATTAGTGATCGGTCTCATTTTCTCACTCGCTAGGGAACTAATCATAAACAAACTTTCTGCTTCGCCTTGGTGCTTTCTTTTGGACGAGCTCATAGTTAATGATTGGTGTTGAGAATTCTTAAATTTGCTTATGTCCTTTGTAAATATTTGTAGCTGTTCCATACTTAAGTGCGTTATTTGTAAACCTTCCTATTTCTGTTAGCCCTTCTGAGAAACCTCTGGTTGGCTTGTTTGAGGTACTCAGAGTTTATATGAACAGTCGTATTTCTAGGTTCCTCATATGAATTTTGAGGGTCACGCTTTCTTATGGCAACATGCACATAGCCATGAGAGTGGTGGGATTTAGACCGAGCGCTGCAAGTTTCCGAGCTATTTAGTTTTAGGTCTTAATTGAGTAGTTTTTCTTCCAATATCCTTAGCATTTTCTGCCAAACCACCGTAATTTAGATTGTTGTTCCGAGTAATTTCTCTAGTCTTTGGAATCAAAGGTTCTGTTAGATAGAGGGATTTCATCTCATTCATCGGTAGATCTTCAGCTGTATCTTGTAGATAATCTTCGGGCTTAATCTGCTCATTTTTGTTAAGAGTTGATTTGAGCTTGGTATTGTTAATGATTCCTTCAATTTCTTCCATAATCTCAAATTCCGATTGTAGATTCATCTTACCAATGTTGTATTTCCTAATCAGTTTCTGGCAAAGTCAATTCTGGGGTTTAGAAACTCTAAAAATTACTAAAACTAATCAAACCTAGACTGAATGCCAATGATGCTTAGTTTAGACTCTTTATTTACTTTTGAGCTTCATCCTTTCGAGTGATTCCTCTCGATCTCTCCTGCTCTCTTGGGAGTGAGTATGTGAGAGCTTATTGAGACTCTTATATTTAAGGAATTCAATGAATTCAGATTCAATAGCATTGCCTAACAAGTCGCCCTTGATCTTATTTTATTTTGGAGTCCTTGAACAATCTGTTATACACATCATTTTTCTTAAGTTCCTCTCCTGTGAAGAAGGCTCTCTTTGATAGATCAGAACTCCTATTCGTTAGAAATGAAGGAATACTTTATGTAGTTCTTTAGTGTTGGATTGTAGAAGCTCTCTGCAGTCTTGAATCCTTGCCTCTGTAGCTGCGCTTTTCGCTGAGGAAACTGGGGAAAATCCTGAGTGTAAATTGGGTCAATAATATCCCCCTCCTTTTCATCATGATTAGTTTGTAATCTTACCTGGCTATCGTAGATGTTAATTTTGCTCGATGGTCTCTTAAAATGTGCATTTTTGCCACTCTCTTCACTACTTGTATCAGGTATTCCGAGGGTATCAAAGTTTGCAGCTGAGATTTTCTTAGTCACCTTGAAGTCTGTGACATCTCTAAAGATATGACTTTATGCCTCCAACATCTATCTAACAGGGGGTTGAATCCCTTGGAATACTAGGATGACTAAGGACTGGAATACTATTTCTTCCCTTCTGCTAATGCAGTGAAGGCTTGCAGGAAAGGAAGAATGCGAACCCACTAAATCTAATTCATCTTAAATTATCTTTACCTTTTATTTTAAATCCATGCTCTCTTTAGTGGCATATTCCTTATTCAACATTATTGTTTCATCATTCACTGTTTTAGGATCACTAAGTGTATTTTGACATGAAATTACTTAAGGTTTAGATCTTCTTGAGAGCTCTCGATTGAGCTCTTGTAAGCTCGAAGTCGAGATTTTGAACCAGTATTATAGTACTGCCGTATTCGCTATGAGTTGATGGCAGCAGCTTACAGCTATGAAGTTAGTAGTTAACTCCTTGAGTTTCTTTTTCAATGGCTCTAGTATCTCAGGAGACAATTCAGGCAGTAGTTCAAATATTGGGTCAAAGGTCAAAGTTGGAAACTCTTTTATCCTCCTTCTGCCTACAAAACGCACATTACGAACTTTGCAGCATTATTATGCTTAAACCTAGCTTGACCGAGAAACATTTTAGACTTTCTGAATGAAGGTAGAGATCTTTTAGATGGAAAATAAGGTTAAAGTTTACATTACCTGTGTTATCTCTATGATTGCTAGCAGAGCTGAGCTCTTCTTTAGAATATTTCCTGATTATCGTGTTATCTGAACTTCAACTGTTGGCAGCCTTGTGAATCCTCTGACTTTCGTTTATTAACATAGTTTTATTCTCAGATGTCTAAAGGTGAGTAAAATTATACATTCAGATTGGAATTTTTGTCTGATTCTTTGCTAATTCGTACAGAGTTTATTATATCTATCTCTTTAGAATCAGGGTCGCTCTAAATTTTATGTATGACACTTCTGTAAAGGAAGAGATATATATCTTACCTTGATATCCTGTGAGTGCCTATGAATACTCATTTTAAGAAACTTTTCTATAATATTTAAATTAAATGGGGTTTTGGGGTTTTGGGGTTTTGGGGTTTTGGGG